GTCGTCTGCTTGAGATTCTCTCTCTCCCTTTTCCCCGCCACCCCCCCAAATAAATAAATCTTAAAAAACAAACAAACAGGGCGCCTGGGTGGCTCAGTTGTTAAGCATCTGCCTTCGGCTCAGGTCATGGTCCCAGGGTCCCGGGATCGAGTCCCGCATCGGGCTCCCTGCTCCTCGGGAAGCCTGCTTCTCCCTCTCCCACTCCCCGTTTGTGTTCCCTCTCTCGCTGTGTCTTTCTCTGTCAAATAAATAAATAAAATCTTTAAAAAACAAACAAACAAACAAACAAACAAGTGTTTGGTGCCCTCCCCAGGTGTACCCTAGTTTCCAGTCTAGGGTTTCAGCACAACACTGTATTGTGACAGACCTGGCCTTAATCACAAGAGTCCCACTTCCAGGATTTTATCCATTTAAGATCCTCTGGTGAAACATAGCCTATCTTCAAGTCACTTCCAGACCTTGTTGGTCAAGACTGTGGTTTCAGCATATGGTGATCAGGGATTTTTTTTTTAAGTGACAATGGATCTGAAACTACCCTCATCCATGCTACCATAAGGGAATTGATGACATTTTGTATGCTTTAGCTTAGACTGATTTAACTTGAAGGTAGATTCGAACACAGGGATTCACCACTGTGATCAGAAAGGAACACAACTGCCTGGACTGAACCATAGGAGGTACTTGTTTACCTGAGACGCCACTTAATCACTCACCTGAGATGCAACTTAACCATCATTCTGCCCAATAGCTACTTACCTTGACTTGCTTGGGATGATGGCCGAGTACAGCTCCTTCTCAGCATGAGGGACAAAGGGCCTGGGAGATTAATGGGACAGGAGAAAGGAGAGCTGAGTTTACCTTAAACTCAGAGAGGACTCTTTCCAGGAGGAATGGAAGAATTCCAGTTCTGAAAGAAAAAAAAAAAGAATTCCGGTTCTGAAAAATTGTGAAATCTGAATCGTCTCATCATCAGATTAATAAGGTCTGGAAATTGACTCATACTACAATCTCAATAGGGACTGACTGTCCAACCCGTTTTTTATTTATAGATTGTGTGACAGTATGGGGCAGTGTCTTATTGAAACCAGCACTTCCTAGCTGGTAATAAAAATGCATTCCCCCAAAGGGTAACATCAGGCTTGGTTGGTACAAGCAGGACTGTCTCAGTGCCCTGGAATTCCCACTGAAAAGCTTTCAGGGCCCACAAGTGATACTTACATTGGGTTGGAGATGGGAGAAGAAAAAACTTGCCAAGGCCGAGTGAAGGTTGATCGTGTGTTTCCAGCATCTGGTTCTTCTGAGGCTACTTAAAACTGTCAGTCACTTATCTGTGTCACCTGCCCAGCTCAGCATCCTGCCCTGCCAGCAGGGACCCTTCGAGTAAACATTTGTTGAAAGAGGAAGGTTGGAACACCTGCCATTAGGGTCACCTCTAGGGCCATGTCCAGTGATCCCTGAGAGACTCAGCACATTTTGCAAGTACTCAGTCGATGGTTGGGCAGAAAAGAGGCTTTGCCATCCCTGCAGTTAAGGGTGTGGGGCAGAGACAGGCCCACGTGGTGCTGTGGCAAGTAGACACGGACCTCACCAGGAAGGCAGGAGAACTCACGGAGGAGGAGGTGGGATGGGTGATCACCATTATACAGAATCCTTACAGGGTAAGATCGCAGACTGGTTCTTTTTTTTTTAAGATTTTATTTATTTATTTGACAGAGAGAGAGACAGCGAGAGAGGGAACACAAGCAGGGGGAGTGGGAGAGGGAGAAGCAGGCTTCCCGCCGGGCAGGGAGCCCGATGCGGGGCTCGATCCCAGGACCCTGGGATCATGACCTGAGCCGAAGGCAGACGCTTAACAACTGAGCCACCCAGGCGCCCCGCAGACTGGTTCTTGAACAGACTAAAGCATGTCAAGCATGGAAAAAAATACAGCCAGGTCCTGGCTCATGGTCTGGACAACAAACTCCGGGAAGACCTGGAGCAACTGAAGAAGATTTGGGCTCACAGCGGGCTGCGCCACTCATGGGGACTTCGTGTCCGAGGCCAGCACACCAAGACCACAGGCTGCGGTGGCCGCACCGTGGGTGTGTCCAAGAAGAAATAAACCTTTAGGCCTTGTCTATTAGTAAATCAAGAGAGAGACAGAGAGAGAGAGAGAAAGGAAAAAAGAGGAAGATTGTTCTTTTGGTTTGGTTTTTGTCTTGTTTTTTAGTTGACTCTTGTGGTCAGTGTCCCTGAAAGGCCTTGTCTTCTTGGTTATAAAAAAAAGAAAGAAAAATACCTGGTTTCTTCTTTTTCATGACTTAAACAAGACCTGTTATTTCATCTCCCTTGCCGGTGAGTTCAGCTTTACCGACAGTAACTTTAAAGTTACAGAGGGGCCTTGCAGAACCATCTCATTGCCCTCCCACACCTGGCCAGTCTTTGCTGTTTGGATTCTATTATAGTTTCAGTCTGCTGCCACAACACCTCAGCGGGGAGGGGTGCTTGTGGGAGTGAGCTCTCCTGTGTTAGGAATTCACTTGCTTGAGTTTCCATAGCATCTTTTTTTTTTTTAAGCTTTTATTTATTTGAGAGAGAGAGCACTAGCAGGGCATGGCAGGGGTTGGAGGGGCAGAGGGAGAAGCAGGCTCCCCGCTGAGCAGGGAGCCCCACATGGGGGGACAGGGACTGGGTAACAGGACCCTGGGATCTTGACCTGAGCCAAAGGCAGATGCTTAACCGACTGAGCCACCCAGCCACCCCTGTGGCATCTTTAAGTCAACAAAACTCTAAAATTGAATGGGCCCCTACATGAATTTCACTTCCTCTGTGAGACACTGCAGAACGAATCCCACATCAGTCAACACGTATAAATGACCACTAGGAGCATCAAATGCTGAGCTGAGCACCGTGGAAAAACTCAGACGTTCCCTGTTCGTAAGGAATTTAGTCTAGGAGGTGGATAAATAAGACATTTGCCCAGAGCTAGGGGTACCTTGGATCTGCCAGGCCATGCAGCAATAGGGCTACCTCCAAACAGAGGGGCAGCTTTTGGTGAGTGCCTCTTGGGGGTAGGGTCCTTTCTCAGTACGCAGAGGTGCTGTGCAGGAGAACAGCGGCTCTGGCTCGTGCATAAAATGCAGCAAATACATAAATAAATGCCAAGTGGATGATTGAGGTTCCACACACACTCATTCTCCCTACTTAAAGAGGGCCTCACAAGTGGATTACCGTCTGATGCTTTTGAAGAACTCGAATAATGTGTGTGTTTTGGGGAGGGCGGGTGGGCAGAGGTATGCTGTAAAGCCCCTTAACCGTTCTACGAATTCAGCTTGATGCTAAAATTAAATAGAACCCTCTATTCCAAACCGAAGCAGTGTTTTCCTGTTAATATTGCAAAGACTTCCATGTGTCTTTTGTCACATCACACAATTCAATTACAGACTGAGCTCTTCGAACGTACCTAAGTGCTTTTGAGCACTTTGAGAACTGAAGAAGTGGAAGGTGGGGGAATGCCGACGTACTTAGCAATGCTAACTACCATGTAAGAGCATCCACTGTCTGTAGGGATTGTTAACTGGCTACGTTGTCAGATACACTCGGTCTTGATTTTGACCCTACTGCAGTCTTACTGGAATGGGCTGGAACTGGTACACACTGTGAAAAGTGGTAAGCAAGCAACCACAAAGCTTCAACTAACCGCTCACATTTCCTGCCCGTGCGTGCGGTCCTGTGCAGGTGAAGACACCAAATGGTGGTAAATTAGGATTCAAAGTAGCCGAACTGTCATTGCAATGCTATCTTAATATGTTTTCCTTTATGTTCAGCCTCCCTGGAGCTCTCACATTCCCAGAAATGTGTCTTGTAAATTCTGTGCTTTGCAGGCTGGCACGGAAGAAGGCCTGGCCCATGTAAAACACCACATATTCTCCCTTCCCACGTTCCTCGCCCTCCTCTTTCTTTCCCAAATTGGAATTCGTGTCCCCGGTCCCTAAGATTGAGGGAGCTCAACTCCTGCATCCACCCCACTGGTTACCTCCATTTGTTAGTGGTGTCGTGTGCAAACCCTCCTAACTTGTTTTCCCCTCTAATCCTTCTTTCACCAAAGTCAGCCTTAGTTTTCTAAAAGCCTGTTGATGATGATTAGATACCAGCACTCACCTAGACCCTGTGGTCAGTATAAAAATCATTAAGATCCTCACCCTGCCGTGGAGACCTCTCGCACTGAAGAGCTAATGAGGGGGCTAGATGGAAGGACAAGTGGTTGGGGGCGGGAGGTGGGTGGATGGCAAGCGAAAGAGAGAGAGGATCTGAGGATGGGTGTGTACCCAGAGGCCTCCTCGATGGACAGACCTAAGCTTGACAGATGCCGGTTCTGTGAACTTGGGCAAGGTGGATGATATCTGAGAGTTTCAGATTCCAGATCTCTGAAGAGGGGGTTGTCATAATTCCTACCCAGCCTGGGTGACTGTGTAGATTAGAGACTGCAAACGGCTTAGAGAAGTAAGTGCTTGGTTAAAATACCAACAACCCGAAGTGGAACCTATATATAACTACAACAGTGGGTGGTAAATGACACAAGAGAAATGCAAACAAAGGGGTGGGGGCTCGAAGCAGGAAGGCTCACACCTGGCAGAAGGCCACGCGTGAGCGTGTGCGCCGAGCACGTGTGTACATAGGCCCTCCCAGCCTCCGGGTGATCTGTCGCCCCGGCACGCAGTTAGCAGGGCAGAGCTGAGCAGTGCGGGGCCCACGGGCGCACATCTGGGAGCCACCCAGTTCCCACAAAGTCGGACATTTAGCTGCCACAGCAGGCATGACCTGGAGCTCATGCCCTTGAGGGGCCAGCCGAGAGGCGGCAGAATGGAGATCTGGAAAGGGCACGGCCGTCCAGGTTGACTTCAGCCTGCTATGGGGATTGAACATCATTCCCTTCTCCAGAAAGCAAGGTGTTTTCATCGTTTTTCTTTCCACCCCCTTCCCTGGATGTCTAAGGCCAAGCGTTCTTCTCTCTTCTCCAGCTCAGAGGCTGAGAATGGTGTGGAGGAGAAAAAGAAGATCTGTAAGTCGCCAGCAATCCAGTCCCCAACCCCGTCCAGCGAGGCCGAGTCCCCAGACCAGAAGAGAATCCTTTCCTTGTGGTGAGTTCTGGCAGTGACAGTTTGTTCTTTGGGGCCTTTGGGGACAAGGGGTTGCTGGGAGGAGCCCGTGTTTCTAGGTTGGTGGTGGTGGTGAAGAGTCAGGATCTACTGTAGGCAAATAAACCCCTGACAAAGAAGTGGGGTGCCTGTCTTTGAAGCTGAAGCTTGCCTTCCTGCCTCGTCTCTTGCTGGCAGCATCCTTCCTCCTCCCTGCCCCAGCCCACGGCAGAACATCTGCCCCTTTCTTCAGGGACAGCTCTTGCTACCCGATAAAGCCAGGACAGCCCCCTGTCTGGCACAGACCTCGGAAGCACCTGCAAAGGTGGCCAGGGAGCCCGTGAGACCTGCCCAGGTGGGAGTGCCCATTCCACCTGTGTGAGTGCTCACCTGCTGCCTCGCCTTCCCGGCAGCCACCCGCTTGGGATCCCAGGCCGGGCTGTGCCTGTCTCGGGGGGCCGCTGCTTCCTGGGGGCTGGTGCTGGGAGCCAGCAGCAGTCTGGTCATGAGCCTGAGAGGAGCCACGCTCCCCGGCACTCCCAGAGCCTCCACTTACATGCTTGCTTTCCCACAGAAGGAAGAAGTAGGAACTTCACATTGCCTTTTTTTTTTTTTTTTTTTTTTTTGCCCTGAAAAGAGAATGGCTATCCCCGTGGTCAGTTACGGGGCAGTGTGGCCGGGAGTCCTTACCGAGCGGTGGAGGGATTGCTCTCCTTTCTCCTCCCTGATCCGGGAACTGTCAGAACTGCACCTTTCGGGGTCTCCTGGCCTCTGCCAAAGGGTAATTAAGTAACTCCTGCCTTTCCCTTTCCTTCCTGGCTACCCAACCCATTCCTTCTCTCCACATCCTTACTTCATTCAAGACCAAGCGTAAGTCTCATCTCTCTCTCCCCCAGATTTTTTCCTTTCTGTCGCTTCCAGTTCTCTCGTCTCCGGTTCTGCATGGCTGGCTTGACAGCTCCCGTTCGACCCTCTTTTCTCTAGTTTCCTGTCCGCGCAGCTGGCCGCGCTCACCGCACGAGTCTCTGGGCAAAGGCACAAAGCATGTGGTTTCTTGAATCTTGCACCATTACTGGCCGGCTCCTGCGGGAGCCTGAAAAGGGTGCCTTGCGCCGCCCCCAGGCTTGGGATGGGAATGGCGCACCCAGCACCCACCGTGAGAGCATGCTTGTTAACCGGCGCGGGCGGGGCCTCGGTGTGGTCGCAGAGAGCCCCACGCTGGCTTTACTGTTCCGCTCTGGCCGGCTGGAAATTCCTGATTTTTGAATAAGAGGCCCGACATTTTCATTTTGCACTGGGCTTTCCGTCCAGCTCATAGTCACCTGTGAGAAACGAGAGTACCACAGCTCAGGAGACACAAAGACAGCAGCACTATGTAAATCAGCACCCCGTTCACAGAGCGCCGTGCTCTGCAGACGAGTCCATCCTGCTGTGGCTATTGAATCCGTCAAGGGTACAGCTGCCCTCCTGGTCGCATTTGCTGCCGGTCCTTCGAGAGGCCGTTGCCTTGGCAATTCCGTTAACGTTTGCAAACGTGAATCCGTAGAGGTGATTGAATCAGATCAGTGGATAGTATAAGTAGTAGGTAACCTGACATTTGTAAAAATAGTTTTATTTTTGAGTTCAGTGTTTACTCGTAATTTCAAAGAAAAAACAAGTGATTCCTAGAATTCAAAAGGAACTTGTATCTGTGAATAGGGTCACTGATCTGTAGCTAAGTCCAAATCTTCACCTGTGGTTAGAGCAACATGGACCCAAACTGTTGGGGCTGGCAGGGACCCGGAACATCAGATAGCCCGTCTTTTCACAGCTAGAGAAACCCAGAGTCTAAAATCTGACTTCAGTCATTTCTGTCTCTGAGTCATACCCTCATACCACCTGAATTACTCAAGATTCTTACATTTGCTTTGAACCAAGTGGTAGTTGTAACTGAGCCTCTTTGTAAGGAATCATATTGTGGAATCATGGATTTCATGTGTCATTTTTCCCAATAATAATATAAAAAAAAAAAACCTATATAATTGTATCCTAAAACTTGGTCCTATGTAGACCTCTGAAAAATCACACATATATAGACCACGTGCATTCCACTTTGAAATGATTCTGTGTGTCTGCAGGGCTGAAGACATGTGTAAATTCACACATGTACTCAAATGGAGAGCCAGGACCAGAATCCCCTTAGAAACACAAGCTGGAGCTCTGCCCTTACTAGAACAAAGGAAGACTTCACTTGCAAACACAGTCTTCATTTTTATCCTGATTTCACTTCTGTTTTCCCTACTCTGGGATGTTTTGTCTCTCTTTCCCTCATACCCACCTCCTGCTCATCTTCTGAGTCCCAGTGTATTAAACCCAAATTGCACTATTGATCTCCTCTTACCTCCTGATGGACTTAGTGCCTCTTTAGTTCCTCCTAACACCCATGGTATGTATTATTTGGTGCTAAGTCCTTGTACTGCCCTTTTAAAAAGTTGTTTGATGAATTCACAGGCTCCTTAAGGAAAAAGACCATCTTGTGTGCCTAATGGCCTTTAATACAGTGCCCTCCTCAATTAACACATGTTAAATATTAATAGAATTCTGAAACAAAAATATTCTTTGATTGAACTGTAGCTGTAGTTTTGCTTAATAATTTGCCTATACTACCCCTCTTTTATTGCTTAGAATGCTTTTGAGATGGTATTCATGACCTTCATAATTCAGTTGATATTTCTCCCTTCTACAAGTCCACATTTCTCTGCAGTCTGAGATTTGTAGGCTGGTGAAACCATCCTGGTCTCCTACACACTGTACTGTGTAAATGCTCCTAGAGTATTATGAGTGATCACTGAGGTTGAGAAAAGAAAAACGAATGTCAGGTTTTCTCGTGAGATGGTATAACAATCAAGATTTATTACAATACAATTAATGAGTAGCGTACAAAATTCATCTTACCAACTCCCTTGATTCTCTTTCCTCAGGTCAAAATCCAGTTTTGATGGTGCCTCTTTAGCAAGTGATAAGAATGACTGTAAAACAGAAAGCAAAAATGAATCTAAGATGGGCAGGAAGAAGTATTCGTCTTCCAGCCAGGTAACTTGGGAAGGCGGTGTGCGTCATGTCAAGGCAGGGCACTAAACCCAAATGTGCATCTTCCTGCTGGCCAGGACTCACGTAGGCAGAGATGGCAGAGAATCTGGAAGAAAGAACGGGATGCAGTTCCTTCGGTTGATTTTTTAATCAATATCGTTATTTCACCACTGACCTTTCGGTATATTCTGGGCAGTGGTGAGTTCCATGCCATGACCCCTAACTCTGACAAGCGCCCTGAGAGCAGGGACCCACACAGTCATGTGCTGGTCTAATAATTAGCCGAGATCAGGAGAGCTGTGATAGCCTTGCATTAAAATTAGAGTCTGATACAACACCCGTATGAATAGAAGGCTACCCAGCTGCACGCGGAGGGGGGAAACCTGTGAACAGGGTCATGATCCTCGTCCAGGAGTAGTTTAGTTCTGCTCTAAAACACACCCAGATGGGTGTCAGAGCCCAGTTCTGTGTCTTAGAGTGTGGCATACTTACTGGGGTCAATGGGTTGAGGTGGTTATTGACACTTCACCCCTAAATACTTGAATACGTGTTTCCTAAGAACTAGAACAAAAACAACAACAAAAACCCACTGGCACACACGAGAAATGTAACTAAATAGTAAATATACCAAAATATTATTAATGTAAAATCCATTTTGGATTTCCATAATTGTCCCAGTACTGGATGCCTTTATAAATGTTTTTTGCTCGTCTATCTCTAGAATCCAGTCAGGAGGCACGTATTACATTTATCTGTCACTTTTAATATAGATCATTCCCACCACCCCCTTTTTTTTTTTTTTGCATTTTACGTTCACATTTTTGAAGACTCCATGTTCTAGGTTTTTTGTATTATGGATTTTTTTTTTCTTTTGGGCCCAGGTTTTGTTGTTGTTGTTGTTGTTTTAAGATTATTTATTTACTTATTTGTCAGATTGAGAGAGAGAGTATAAGTGAGGGAGGGGCAGAGGCAGAGGGAGAAACAGGCTCCCTGCTGAGCAGGGAGCCCCATGTGGGACTCGATCCCAGGACCCTGGGATCATGACCTGAGCCGAAGGCAGACGCTCAACTGACTGAACTACCCAGGCGTCTCTGGCCCAGATTATTTTTAAACCAAGTTATGCAGCCGATTCTCACTGTAGCCATTAAAAACAAAACAAAACAAAACAACAAAAAATCTCAGGAAAGCGCTCCTGGAATACCTAGCTTTAATCCAGGTAATGTTCTAGATTCAGACTGTACTTTTAGGACGCAGCATGAGGAGACCTACTTTACATGAGGTGTTTATAAAATAGCTGACTTGTGGGGACCACCTTTCATCTGCAGACCTCTCTAAACTCTTCCTCGGAGCAATACTAGGGCCAGTCCTGCCATTGAGACCACTCCCAGTTTGGATAATAAAACATGAAGGGCCTGCTTGTACTCTCTGTTCTGCTCACAAGACTTTTTTTTTTTTTTTTATCAAAAGTGTCCTGTCAGGCAGAGGTCCAGTGGAAGGAGGACCAGTTCCACCTCTTAGCTGTGTGGCGCCAGTTCAGTGACTCAGTTTCCCTCAGGCACACTGTCCAGACCCATGGAATGGGAACATCAGCTCCCCGGGTTATTTTGGGGATGGTATTTGTGAAGGCAGGTGACCAGATGGAAATTGCTGGCTGTCTATTGTTGTTACAGCTGTGTAAACACATGCCTTCTACCACCCTAGAGAGTCATCTCCCCCTGACACTGGCTAAGGAAATGCCCTTACAACAAAAGTAGAGGGAGTGACAATACCAGGTGGTGGGTCTTTCGGATGAATTGTCCCATTTAAGCCTTATGGCAGCCCTCTGAGGCAGGGAGTGGATTTGCCCTCAGGCACAGAAGAAGAATCTGAGGCTCAGCAAGCCTCCCTCACTTGGCCACACACACCCAAGGAGAGGTGTAGCCAAAACTTGAACTCAGGTTTATGTGACCGTTTAACCACTGCCCTCCTCTGAGAGTCCTTGTATCTGTAGTGCCCTGGGATCTCCTGCCTTCTTTGGTGAGATCCCTTGGAGCTTCAGGTCATTTTTTTATTAGGGACATCCTTGTCGAGCCTCCTGGGCAGAACAGTGACCACCAGCTGCAGCGTGGTCCCAGATGTCTGTCCAACCGGCAAGTCACTAATCCTGTTGGAAAATGAAACCTTTGTGCCCTGCCCCCTCTGAAGGCTTGTGCTGAAGACTGTAAGATCAGACAGAAGGAATTCCTAAAGAGACTGTATCAAAGGAGGGGAAATTTGTTATGTAATTTATTTATTTATTCTAAAATTTATTTATTTATTAGAGAGAGAGAGCGGGGCAGGGGCAGAGGCAGAGGGAGAGAGAATCCACAAGCGGACTCCCTGATGAACGCAGAGCCCTCCGCGGGGCTCGAACCCAGGACCCTGAGATCATGACCTGAGCCGAAATCAAGAGTCGGACTCTTAACGGGGCCGAGCCACCCAGGCGCCCCTTGTTATGTAATTTCAATTGAAGTTCAGATTTACGATGTTTCACCAAGAAATGCGAGCAGTAACGCCTGTATTGTGTTCTCACCGTAGTACAAGGCGAATATGCACTTCCACAAGTTGTTCCTTGATGTCCCAACTGAGGAACCACTGAGGCAAAGTAAGTCCCGGCCTGTCTGACTAATTTGACAGGATGCTAATTGGTTTGGGGGAAGAAAGCGGGCTCTGTCTGGGGCCTGAAGCACCCAGGCAAACAGGTCTTTTGAAAGTCACGATGCAACGGGGGTGCCAGCATTCAGCTGTCACCCAGCTCCTTGAAGGACAGTGGAAGGGGAAACCGAATCCCTCCCCATGACAGGGAACCCTCCAAGGTGATTCTGGAATGATCTCCTCACCTTCTGTATTGACTGCTGAAATGCACTGTGTGGGGGTGGTCCTGAGATTTGGGATAACAAGACTGGAGGAAGAGGGGCCGCTGAAAGAAGGCTGAAAGGAAGCGCAGATCCTAGTGCACAGACGTGTGTCCAAGCCTATACGGTGCGGGGCGCTGTGATCACCCCCAGACATCCTGCCCGGCATGCCAGTGAAGACCTCCTCTGCTCCTCTTAGGTTCGTTAGGACCAGGGTTCCATTGTGGCCTCTCAGTGTACCCATGTTAAGCAGGAGGCTGGATTCCTGCCATGATGCCCACACATGTGGGTCACATGCTCTTCCCACACTGAGACCATCAATTTCAAAAGGAGTCATTAGTGACAGTCCCAGGGAAGGAGGGGCAGGAGTGCCACCACGAGCTCAAGGTGACACGCCTTCCTCAACAGAGGAGATTTTGAAACTCCATTCTGGAACTCTCGTTTGTAGTGATAGACTTGCCTGGCCATTTTGACTTCCATACTAAGGCATGTAAAGACTTTGAATTAAATAACAAACTCTCATCCCCATAGCTTTATGCCCTGAAAGATGGCTGACGAACAGGTGAAAGATCTTTTGAGTATGAGTGTATTATCTCTGCCAATCCTGGGGAACCAACATACTTACATAATTTTTATTTCATATGGAAATTCTAAGTGCTCTTATACCTGTGTCTATTTTCCCAGGTTTTACCTGTGCTCTCCAGAAAGAGATACTATACCAGGGGAAGCTCTTTGTATCAGAAAACTGGATTTGTTTCCATTCCAAGGTCTTTGGAAAAGACACTAAGGTTGGTATAATTTTTTAAAAAGGAAGCTATGCACTTTATTATATGTTGTGAATATCAATTGTTTTAAGCATAGCAATGTTGATAAATATTTACTCTTAATTAGACCTTTATATCTTTATTTCCTTTATCATGGTTCCAAATATTACAGGTTCTAAATGCCTCTAAATGACACTAACTTCCCTTTTTTCCTAAAGACCACTCTCCGTTTATTTCCTTATGTACATAGATCTCTCCCACAACCCTGCACTAAATCCGTTCTACCCAGATGGCACCAGAGAACTCTCAAAGTTGTCCATTTGGAGAGCATGCCACGATTTGTTTCAAAGACCTATATTAAACCCAAGACCATTTTTTTTAAATAAATATCGATTTTTACACCGTGTTCCTATCAGTTACATCAGACATGTAGAAGAACAGGCTTAAAAATAGGCCACTTACTGGAGCTCACTTTGTACCATCACCAGCACCAAATGAGCAGGAATTGGAACGCTTAAGGCCTGGTCTGAGAGACTCACACATCCACATTCCCCAGGGGACAATGACTGAAAGTTCTCATTCTCATTAAATTGATTTGGGGGAACACAGGCCCAAGATACCTGAGCTGTTCAGGAGGATAGCCCAGAGGAACTGGCAGTTTTCCCAAGCCACTGCCTTCCAAAGCGAGGACCCTGGGACTGTGTCATAAGAAGGGAAAAGATAATTCCATCCCACTGACATTCTTTCCCTTTGTCCTCCAATGTCACACCACAGTTCATTCAGGCCACCAGAACAAGGAGTCCGAGAAAGTCCTTTTTAGGTTCGCGTGACCTAATGAGTTCTTAATCCTTCTGATTCCTGATTATTATTAAGCAGCTTTTATATTCATGAAGTCGCTGACTGAAAACTTTTTGTTTTGAGTGGTAGTTATGTTTTATTTAAATATTCTCCCTAAAGCCCCTGGCAATCTTTTAGATAATGACTATGTAACAAACAATGGAAATTCTTGATTTTGTTGGTGTTGGGTCAGCCGACTAGCACACTGTTCTTTAGGTCAGACATGTTATTTTAATGTTGTTTTGTAATTATGTAGAGTTGTGTTTAGACAAACATATTTTGATAAATAGTATCACCTGAATCAGTATAATGCAAAGCAATGTTAAGCAGTATTCCACTGTATTTCTAGATTTCTCAGTTACAAGAACTTGTTCATGGAATAGGGAAGGGGTTGGGTAGAAGGGATCTCCAGTTCAATGGGATAAGATAATTCTCAGGAATTTAGAGCCAACGCCTCTGACCAAAGCAGCAGGGTTGGAGATATTAGTGAATGAAGAATGAGTCTTTGTTAAAGGATGAGGGAGTTCTAAAACTCAGGAAGTATACTTTGAAGCCAATATGATTCTAGCAGTGGTTTTAAAATCCAACATGTACCTAAGAGAGAACTGACTGGCATTAACACACTGGTTTTCTAAAGACATAACATGGTGGATCTTGGTAGACCTTACTTTTTTCCCCCAAAGTTATCCCAGTGTATAACTTCTGAGTTACCTCCTACACTTCAACATTTGGGGCAGTAGAGTTCTTTGGCAATTTTAGGAAATGTCTTATTAAGATTAGCCCCTCATTCTTCCCTGGTCTTCCCATCTGGAACTTGGAGGGGTAGTAGAACATTTCTGTCTCATGAACCTAAATACGGGAATGCAAGTGTTCAGAATTAAAAGCTTGTTTTTCTTCCTCCAAGCTGGCAGCTCTAACCTAAGGCCCTCCTCTTCCCCACCGACCCTGTTCTTTTAGAACCTGCAAAGCGTTTTTACAAAATAAATGTTCAAGTTAGCGTGGGTACCTGTGGAGGGAGTCAAGTCATTTTACCGTGGATGTGTGTGACTCTGTTTTCCAGGATCAAAGTGATATGATCCTTTTCTCTTTGAAACAAGACTGGCTTGGGGGGATATAACATAAAACTATTGGAACATCTATTCTTCATGTTATCTGGTACATGCTTGTAATACATTGTATGAAAAAGAACCCACATTTTGGATTGGATTGGTTCAAATTCCATTGTTGTAACCTATTATTTTTATGACCTTGGACAAGCACCTACCTCTGAACACGTCCTAATCTCTTAGAATATGTACTTCATAAGACTGTCCTAATTAAATGACTTTCTCATCTGTTGTAATTCTCTATTGTTTGAACCAGAAAATAAAGTTAGAGTTCATTTCACCCATCCTCTTTTTATGAGACGAATGAGGAAATGAATGACTTTTTTTTTTTTAATATGGAACACTTCATGAATTTGCACTCATCCTCGTGCAGGGGCCCTGCTAATCTTCTCTGTATCATTCCAATTTTACTATATTTCCTGCCGAAGTAAGCAGAATACATCACTTTCTTAATGAGTGCTAGGCATTTTCCATATATTACCTCACTTAATCCACAGAAAATCCTGGGAAGCAGGGCAGATTATCTCCATTTTACAAATCAGGAAACTGAGGCTTAGAAAGGGTAGCTTGTAAGGTCGAGTAGGTCACGTAGAGTGGACCGTGAAAAGTAAAATAGCCACTTGTTTTATCAGCAAAACGAGTTTATTCAGGAATAGGAGAGAAATCACAATTTGAGCCATGCAAGCTACCGCAAACCGTAGGCAAACCACAGGCAAGTCGAGATCAAAGGAGAGAAATGTTAAATTACAGAGAAAAGAAGGAAGTTGGGAGGGGTCGCTTTAGACAAAAGTCCATTGGAGAGAAATGAGTGTTCAGGCCTTCTCATTGACGGAGCTTGTTGCTGGGCAAGGAGAATCCGTCCTTCCTCCTGCTGGGTTGGGTAGTCAAGTGGGCTTATTCCTGTTGGGGTCTGCAACTGAGGAGCAGAGGTGGTGCATGAGAGTGCCCCCTCCTCTAGCCTCCAGGCTGCATTTTGTTTTATTTTTTTATTTTTTTAGATGAAGAGGTTCTTTTTTTTTTTTTTTTAAGATCTTATTTTTATTTATTTGACCGAGAGAGACACACGAGAGGGAACACAAGCAGGGGGAGCGGGAGAGGGAGAAGGAGGCTTCCTGCCGAGCAGGGAGCCTGATGCGGGGCTCGATCCCAGGACTTTGGGATCATGACCTGAGCCGAAGGCAGATGCTTATGGACTGAGCCACCCAGGCGCCCCTCCAGGCTGCATTTTAAATGAGGTTTCCTTTATTCAGTGTCATGAAAGTAACATAGCTGAGAATTGAGGTCCCAAGGTTTTCCCTACCCGCACGTACCTAAAGGTAGAGGAGAGCCAGGAGTGTGCGGAGATTAGCCCTAAGTGGACGACCACAAACACACAATTTCTTTAGAGCCCTGGGCCTATCTTTAAGATGACTGTGCATTTTGCATTCATTCCCTCACCTCAAGACAAAGGTTTCTCGCCCAGCAAGTAAAATTAATGATGCAGATTTACCCTCTGGCTTTGTAAACAGAACTTTGAGGAGACTCGCTTTTCATCCTGGAGGCTGGAGAGCTCCCTGGTGGTTTTGATTTCTTTGTTAAACTTCAAAAAAAATTTTTTTTCCTTCAACATAAAGATTTGAAGTCGTGTTCAGTGAAGCCTGAACCAGTCTTAACTGATTCTGTTTCAGATCTCTATTCCGGCATTCTCAGTCACCCTAATAAAGAAAACCAAAACTGCCCTCCTGGTGCCAAATGCCCTGATTATAGCAACAGTCACAGACCGGGTGAGTAGGCCTTGGAGCGAGGGCACCTTCGCTTTGTCCTGTTTGTGTATTGTCTCCCCTCACAAGGTGCTTTATTCTAATATAATTGTTGACAATTTTGATTTTCCTGCTGACTTAATTCTGCTTGCTTGACCAAGGTCGAAAACATAAAATTCTTTCCCAACTTCCCTTGCCCTAATATCTCTTAGAAGAGGCTAAGCTGATATATTGAGTTTCTTTAATATTTAAAACAGCCATAGCCACCACATGGTTGAGGGGGTGAGGTAGGCTGAGACTGAGGAGTCTCTGGGGTGGGGTGGCCACCCTCCCCAAAACCTTACTTGGTCCCTCTCCAGAGCCGTCCCAGATACGTCAACCCAGTGCTTGCCCTGCACGGTCAGCTTCAGGACCAGTTTCTAGTCCCCCTGTGCTTCCAGGTTGCTTCAGGTACTGTTCTGTATAGAAATTCTAGAGCTACTCCTGACTTGGGCTGCCCCACACACGTGCAACCAGAAGTATTTGCATTGAGAGTGGTGTTCATTTCAGTTTGGCCAGAAAGAGGGAGTGGAATAGTTCGCCTACTCATTTCTCACTTGAAATTATTTTTTTAAGATTTTACCTACTATTTCAATGAAAGCAAAAAAGCTGCATTCCATTTCTAACCCTACTGGGTAACTTGAAGAGGGAAGGTGGGCGGAGAAAAGACAAGAGAGCCTAATCTGATGAGGTGGGAAATAGGTTAATATTTTGAGGGAAAAAAAAAAAAAAAGGTGTTTTAATACTAATGGCTAATGAGCATCAAGTACTTCTCGTCAGGCACACTAAATGCTTTCCTTCTGTTTTTACATTGATTCCACACTGCCACCTAGGAGGGGTAGGTGTTGTTAAAACTGGAGCCAAGGGTCGCTTGAGTATCAGACTCGATTTCGGCTCAGGTCACGATCTCAGGGTCATGGGATCGAGCCCCGCACTGGGCTCCGCAGTCAGTGTGGAGTCGGCTTGAGATTCTCTCTCTCCCTCTGCGCCCCCATCCGCATACTCTGTGTAAATAAATAAATAAAATCTTCAAAAGAAAAGAAAAAGTGAAGCCAAGAGTGGTTTTAGCAGTTTGCCCAGTACCCTCTTGAAAGTGGGAGAGCCAGACCTAGCAACTAGGTCTAACAGCAGAATCCACAGTGTTAACTCCTTTGGAATACGTGCTTGCTGGGAAAGCCTATCACGTGCTCTCGTCGATGAGTGACAGGGATAATCACAAACTTGTGGAAAGGGGCTCTGAAAAGATTCTGTGGCCCAAACAGACAGAGGAAGACTGAGTTTTAGTATTTTCTTAACATCCTGTTCTTGCTAAAATCGTTTTTCCTTATGTCCTGTGTCTCCAAATTCCTTGTCTCGTCTGATTTCACTTCTTTCCCATCGCTTACGTATACACATCCACTCGAAAATCTCCGTATTTGTACAAGGGAGAATCTGGAAGTGGCTTGAAAAAGAACAAGCCTGTGAGAGCCTCTGGGAAATTGTTAGTGGAAATCTAGGTCAGAACAGAGAGGACCCTTGGGACTTGTTAAATACCTTAAAAGAAAGGGGGCGGGGAACAAGCTTTAAAGAGGATCTAGCAAATATCACTAGCCTTTTTTTTTAATTATCATTATTATTTTTAAGCCTGCCTGGGCGTGTTTGGGGCATCCATGTTAGCGTATTAGAACCTTCATGATGCTTTATTACTTAAATGAGGTTTGACGGTTTTGTTGCTGTTGTGGGGGAAGAGGTTTGGTTTATTACAGAAAATGGAATAAAAAAAAAATGTGTGGGTGCATGAGAGTGTAGACCAAAGAACAGTCTCCATCATTTGAAAAGGAAAAAAATTATATACAGATAAATTGTTTGCACTCTGAACCCTCACATCTTTCCAGGCAGTATTTGTTAATAATGACTCTGTCTTGTTTTTCAGTACATATTTGTCTCCCTACTCTCCAGAGATTCTACTTACAAGCTACTAAAATCTGTGTGTGGACACTTAGAAGTGAGTACAACATTCCTGAGCCTCGGTTGCTGTCTCTCTTTTCTATTTCCTCTGGTTTCCTAGTTGATCTGGTTTTTCATTTTGTTTCATTAATTTCAGAACACGAGCGTCGGGAACAGTCCCAACCCGTCTTCTCTTGAAAACAGTTTCCGGGCAGACCGCCCTTCATCTCTGCCTCTGGTGAGTTGCCTCCGTAACTATCTAAATCCAACAGAAAGGGCATGTGTCCCACAATGACACTTCTCCTTACACCAGGATCAGGGGATGGAAGGAGTGTAGACCTTAATATCTGAGGGAAAATGTGAAGACACAGGGCATTTCTGTGCTGAAGTAAAGGGGGGCCATAGGAGGCTATAAACTTTTTTCAAGTAACTAAAGAGCCGTCCTATGAAGGAAACAGGATAATGGACTGTCTGGGCGAGTGAGTGGTCGGTGGAGGTGTTTGTAAAATCTTGCTGTCTTTGTTTGTCAGTGTTGTTTTAGAGGGATTCGCCAGTCTCTTAGGGTAGGGGCATGATTCATCCCCACAAATCGTTGATTGTCTTCTATGTTCCAGGCACTGTGCTAGTGTAAGGACACCAAGAAAAATCAAAACTAGTTCTTGCCTTTGAAGACTTTATAGCTTAGTAGAAAAGATGAGGAACATCCAGAAATAACTGTGAAAGAACTCTGTAGTGACCAAGTGAAAGAGGTTTTTTTTTCCGCCTTTAGATTTCGTTGACTATATAGTAAATCTCCAGCGGAAAGTAATTCCCCCCATTTGTACAAGATTTATACCTATGATGGTATAATGTCGGCCCAAGAGAGTCCTCGCCATATTTATTCAAGTGCTTATTACCAAAATAATTACTGTTAAATGCTGGAATACCCGGGCACCTGGGTGGCTCAGTTGGTTAAGCGACTGCCTTCAGCTCAGGTCATGATCCTGGAGTCCCGGGATCGAGTCCCGCATCGGGCTCCCTGCTCTAGCAGGGAGTCTGCTTCTCCCTCTCCCTCTCTGAGCTCTCTCTCTCTTGCTCTCTGTCAGATGAATGGATAAAATCTTCAAAAAAAAAAGAATGTTCACAACTGCACTGTTCGTAATAGCCTAAAAATAGAAACAATTCTAATGTCCATCATCTGCTGGATGGATCAATAAAATGTAGTATGTCCATACAGTAGAATATTATTTGACCATATAAAGGAAGGAGTACTGACATATACAACATGGAAGAACCTAGAAAACATGATGCTAAGCAAGAGAAGCCAGACACGAAAGGCCACATATGGTATGATTCCATTTATATGAAATGTCCCAAACAGACAAACTGATAGGAAAAGTAGATCAGTGGTTGCTGAGGGATGGGGGAGGGAGAAATTAGGAGTGGCTGCTACTAGGTAAAGGGTTTCACTTTGGGGGTGGTGGAAATGTTCTGAAATAAGCTGCTTGATGTTGTGATTATTCTAAAAACCACTAAATTATATGCTTTGAATGATGACTTTTATATTACATAAATTTTTATCTCAATTAAAAAAAAAAAAAAACACCTTGGGCGGGGGAAAGGAGTGGGAAGTAGTACAAAATAAAAGCCAACACATATGATTTGGAATCCACCAAACTTGGGCTCCACCCAGCTGAGTTATGCCATCAGACAAGCTCTTTAACTGCTCTGACTCAGTTTCTTCATCCAGCAAAATGCCAACCTCATGATATTGGGGGTGAAGATTAAGTGCAGTCACCTGTCTAACAAGGTCTGCATCCTGCCTGATACATGATAGGCATTCAGTCAGTAATTATTAAATCGAAGAGACTTGAATTCTTCAACTTTCTATCCCCTATATATTCTTGCATGAAATTGAAATGAATTTTTGAAATGACCAAAAGATAGCTAGTATAAGACACCTGTGGTCCCTTCAGTTCTTAAGCATTTGGGGGATATAAAGTAAAACATCCCTGCTTTTTCCCAACTGCTCACCCTTCTATCCTCCCTCTATAATTCAAAAGTGATAGCACAGACTCTCTTTTAATTTGGTTGAGGGGGGTAAGAAAAGCTAAAAATTTGCTTTCAGTGTCTAAGTTGTTAAAGCCATTTTTTCTTCATTTCCAATACCTTTTTTTAAACTATGATTTAAAGAATACCTTCACATTTAGAACATGGATTTAGAAAACTGTGCGTCTATTTTTTTCTCGTATACGTCTGCGTCATTCACTTTTTCTCATGACAGAGTGCTAATGAGACTTTTCCAGTTTGACTCTGGAAACTTTACAATCATCAGCAGTTCTTTTTCTAGACATTTGTTGTTTTCAAACAAGTTGACCACTGCTGACAAGATTTTAACTGCCCAGAAAAATCTGTTTTGGTCATCAAATACTCTGATCTGTTGGGGAAATCCCAGCGGTATGGAATAATCCTCTCTTCTCTTTCAGTATTTTATAAGTGAGGCCTAAGTGAAAGGGCTGGTGGTTACAGAGGCCTGCCTGTTTACTGAGGGGAATTGGACTCTGTACACTTCCTTGTTTCCCTTCAGGATTTCAACGATGAATTCTCAGATCTGGATGGAGTGGTTCAACAAAGAAGGCAAGACATGGAAGGATACAGCAGCTCTGGGTCTCAGACTCCTGAATCCGAGAACTCGCGAGGTCTGAGAAATTTCTGTATGTTAACTAAAATGTAATGCTCCACCAAACATCCTCATCTCCCCCCTTTAAAACAAAAACAACACCAACAAAAACCACCTTGTCAATTAATTAAGGGACTAATTAGCAATTAATTAACAATTGAGAAGGGACTCTGGAGAAAGGGTAGTTCAAAAGTTTTAGGGAAAGGACGTGTCTACATGGTAAAAATCCATTTCTTTATACACATTTAATAAATGTCTCTTAAATCGACACAATATTAGAGTGATTGAAAAACACAAAATGTCTTTTTTACCTCTTCTTTCAGTCATATTATTCACTGTTCTAGCTGCACGGTCCCCATGAGTCAGTGGGCTAAGGACAGACTGTCCTTATATAATTTTCTGACTTCCTTAAGCATTGAATTTCAATACCTAACCATTAAACCAACTTGTGAGAAGATCCATTTATATTCTCAGCCATTATGCATGTTGTGAGATTGATTTGCTTCGTGGTTGATGCTGTGTTTTTAAATGCATTGGGAAGAAAACTTAGCCAGCCCCATTTTGGCTTGATAGATTTCCATGTGACAGAATCCCAGACAGTTCTGAATGTCTCCAAGGGAGAAACAAAACCAACTCGGGCAGATGCCCATGTGAATAGAGTGCCTGAAGGAAAAGCCAAGAATCTCCCTGTACATGGTAAGGAACAGAATGTCTTGGGTAAAGGGGGTGGTGGCGGTCATCTGCTTGTAACTTTTAAAGGGCCCTCAGAGGTCAGGGATACCTGGGTGGCTCAGTTGGTTAAGCACCCCACTCTTGGTTTTGGCTCAGGTCATGATCTCAGGGTTCCTGGGATCAATCCCCCTGCATCGTGCTCCCTGCTCTATGGGGAGTCTACTTCTCCCTCTCCCTCTGCCCTTCCCTCTACTCGTGCTCTCTCTTCACTAAAGAAATAAATAAAATCTTCAATAAAAAATAAAAGGCCCTCATATTTCACTTTATGACTGCCTTTCATATCCCCTCCCTTCTTGCTGTAGGTCTTTGTTCTGTGCATATTAATTCATATACTCATTCACCAAATAGTATCCAGTTCTGTGCTTTATTGTGAGGGATACAAAGGTGAATAGCCTTCCTGGAGGTCCCTTCATTATTTTTAGTATTTTGAGAATGTTATCCAAAAATTGGTGATAAAACTCAAATTATTAAATTATTGCTTATTTAGTAAGTATTCTAATAGCTGTTTACCGATTATATTGATATGAGAGCAAGGATAGACACCTGGAAGGCTTCAGTCAGCGTTTTCTTCAGTGTCTGTTATCCGGGAATAATTGCCTCTTTCAAGTACCTCTTCCCCATAGGGACTTTGCTGGATGAAGGAGGTGTGTTGTAGTTTCAAAACTGTCTTGTTTTTTTGTTTCTTCCCCCACAACAGGTCAGTCAGAAACCATTGGAGACTTACACAAAGTCAGGTCTCAGACATGTATGACTCTCCACCATATTCTTATATTTTACGCAATCATGTAAGTAGATGAATTTACTATGAGTGACTTAAAATCATTCATTTCTCTAAAAGAATAATCTCACACTTCCAAGAGTCATTGTAAATCTCTCATGTGACCCACATCTTTCCTTTGACAATTTTTATCTCCTATTCCAGCATTTTGTTTTCCTTAGGCTTAGGTCACATTTTCCTATTCATCCCCTTATTTAAATAAATAGAAGGGGGGAGGGAAGACCAAATTGGGTCAATTCCAGCAGAGGACTACATTCTGAGTGGATACTATTACTACGGAAATTGTTCTGTGGATGATGAAGCATCTTTGGCCTTACTATTTATTTTCTCATCTATCCCATGTTCTCTGGATGGAGACCAAAACAATGTCAAAATGCCATCATCCCTTTTACTGTGAAAACTCAGGCATAGACTTTAAGACATTTCCCCTCAGCTTCCAGCCTTTCACCAGTTGTTTTTCTGAAAATAGGCTGACCCAGTTCTAGGCTGTTCCTTACTACCAAGGAGGATGTGCCCAGTTTTGTTTGCAGATAATGAAGGGAACTTGTGAGTCACTAGAGAGTAAGACTGGGCACTCACTGGCCAGGCCCTCCTGGTAAGGGACACAGCACCACAGGGGAGAAGGAGCACAGCTCGGTCATCCACCTTGGGCAAGGCTTTGCGAGACCCTAGTAGAATGGCCATTGTTTGTAAGTTGAGGAACCTGGGCCAGAAGATTTTAAATCCCGTTCTAGCTCTCAAGTTTTTGACAAGCATCAGCCTGTTGAAAAAAGACCTTTTTCAAGTCTCTGTGGCAAGTTAATTTTGGAGAATATCTTGCCTTAAAGGTACCACACTGGCTCTGAGTTGATGGTTTCAGGTCAGGTCATGAGCCTATTGAGAATTTCTCTTTTATCCCTTTGCAGTGTGTGTGCACTAATCATCTCGACCTTCTACATGAGATACAGAATTAATACTCTGGAGGAGAGGCTGGGGTCACTGACCTCCATTGTGGACACTCATCATCATGAGTAAGACGATTCCCTCCCGTGCTGTCGTCTGCTTGCTCCTGAGACTAGCATAACGTGGGGCGCTTACTATCCTTCTTAGCAAACATGAGTCGAGGTTACATTCTGTATGGGACATTTTGTTAAGCGTATCTGTGGGAAGTAAAGGGGTAGGTGGGAGGGTCCTAGAGATGAATGCCCTGACTCTGAACTGTTCTTGCTAGAGTGTTGCCAGTTTATCAAGAAACAAGCCTGACTTTACATTATCTTGTTCTGGTAGCCTAAGACTCAGTTGTGACCTTGGCCCATTTATTAAAATATACCAGTTTATCTTAGTAAAATGGCAGTGGGTGAAGACATTAATAGGAAAGAAGCAGTTGAAGTAACTCAGCTCATTTATCATGCATTAACTCTTTATATTGACGAAACTCTTGACCACTTTTAAGATCTCTGTGACTAGTAATTAGCTGAATGCATCTGTGAAGATTTTCCATCACTGTCATTTTTAACACGTCTGACCTAATTAAACCTTTCAGACATAGAGCTCTTTCCTTCAAATCCATATACATAAGAATTTTGATCCATTACCTAAAAAGTGAAATAAATTACCCCATGTTAGAAAGCATACTTTTAACCCAAGTTCTTTTTTTTTTTTTAACTGTTGGGTTTTTGGGGGGGTTTTTTAGTTTATTTATTTATTTTAAGTAATCTCTACACCCAGCGTGGGGCTCAAACTCGTGACCCAGAGATCAAGAGTCATGTGCTCTTCTGAGCCAGCCAGGTGCCTAACTTAAGTTCTAAAAGTAGAGATACTCATTACAGAGTTTATACCATGTGCTAGAGACTCTGTTAGAATAGATATATATATGCACAATTTTCTCTCATTTTATTTACCGTAACCTTTTAAGATAACTTTTATTCCCATTTTACAGACGAGGACAATGAGACCAAATAAATAATTTAATGTCATACAGTTTGTAATAAAATCAGGATTCAGATGCACATCTCTCTGACTACACGGAGGACAGGCTTTCCAGTCTACCAGTGACTTGGTTGTAAAGTCAAAGCCTAGGAATTGGATTAGGCTGTTTAGAGTGTGCTTCGGAATCATCTGGATAGCTTGTTAAAACAGATTGCAGGGCCCATCCCCAGAGTTTCTGATGAACTAGAACTGAGGACCCGAGAATTTGCATTTCTGTCAAGTTCCCAGGTGATGCTGATGGTGCCAGCCTGGTTCTACACTTGGAGAACTATTAGACTATACCATTCTAGGGCCTCTTTATGCTCAAACAACTACCTAAAAGTCTTGTCCCGTGGCTTACACGTCTGCTGGCATACAGGTTCTTTTTGAACCATAATGTATACCTTTGAGCCAATAATACGGAAACATAAAGAACAGTCTAGAACAGATTTATACCCTTACTCTCTCCCATCTTGTTCAAGATGTTAACATACAGGGGCGCCTAGGTGGCTCAGATGGTTAAGCATCTGCCTTCGGCTCAGGTCATGATCTCAGGGTCCTGGGATCGAGCCCCATGTCAGGTTCCCAGCTCAGCGGGGAGTCCGCTTCTCCCTCTCCCTCTGCCTCTCTCTCAAATGAATAAATAAAATCTTAAAGAAAAAATGTTAACATACTTTTTCTACACTAATCTAGCATGCCCTCCTAGTTCACTATCATATATAGGGTTGTTGTTTTTTTTTTTTACACAAAAATGTACCTCATGTCCTGTTATCATATGTTAACTTGGTGATGATGAGGGGGGAAACTCCACGAACAAGGACAAAAGGAATATTCAGTCCACTCTTTAAATAATCAACTTAGGGAGAAGTACAGTCTGAAAAATTATCATTTGAAGGAAAAATCACAAGGATTATTTTTGACACGAGACCAGGAACACCCATGACAGGAAGATGTTCATAAAGTAATTTATAGGACCTGAGCTTCTCCCATGTCTCTCTCTCTCTGCCAAGGTGATCCAGCCATGCTGCCCAGTAGCTAGACCCGCACTTGTAAGTGGGTTGGTTAGTTGTCGCAGAATCCGTACCTTTTACGGGCTTTGTTAGTGTGTCCGTAGCTTGTATGCTGTCAGAATTACATGTTGACCCATCAGCTCTGTGGGTCTCCGTTCTTGCCTCTAGACACCGAAAGATTCCCCTTCAGGTTCCTGTTTGGGATCTAAGATTTTGATGGTGTGGCTCAGGGATAAAGAAGGAATTGTTTATTTTTAGTAAGGGTAAACAGAAAAACATCTGATTGCTTTCTTAATGTTTAGACGATCATCAGTCATTCACCAAGTACCTGTGTAAAATAATTAGACCCATCACTGCCACCCAAAAACTTAATGGCTAAATAAATTACAGCCAAGAAATATGGAGAAGATAGAGACCAGGGTTGTTAACCTTAACATGAAAATCTGATCAACGGCTTTTTAGACCATCTCTCCAGGAAAATGTACATACAGCTCTCAATTTCCTACAGTTTCAGCTGGTATAGGACCCCACTGGGCCCTGGGGAAGAGCTCATGCCGTAAATAGTTCAAGTGGTGCACAATGAATACATGTTCCATTATAAGACAAGGGCAGTTACATGGGCATGGCAAGTCTCAAAAAAAAACTACAAAAGTCTCACACTTGAGCAGCAATTTGACTAAAATTCCTATACATTCTGAAAGCTCCTGTGTAAAGGGTCCCTCCTCCCATGAGAAATAAGCCTGTGACTGAGAAGAGCAATAATTCTTGCCCATTTCTGCTCCGGTGGGGACAGCGAGGATCCGAGGGGACCAAGAGGTCTAAGAAACTATGTGCTTGAGCAGAATCGCCTGATTTTTTTGTTCGGAAGCCAGGGCATAACACTGCCACTTCAACGAAAACAGCTCAAGAGACATCCAGCTGAGCTTTTAAGATGCAGTCCCCTCCACGTCCAGTCAGCCTTGGGGGATTACGACAGGGCCTTCCCGACGTTAACAAGTGAAAGGCTCATGCTCGACTACTGTAACCGAGTTTTCTGTTCAGATAAATTTAAAATGTGTTCATTCTACTTCTTCCTTTGCCATCCGCTGCCCACAATCATTTTTCTCTTTGTTCTTGCAGACAGACAGCACCATCTGGCCTGGGGTCACAAGTACAGTTAAATGTGGAGGTCCTCTGCCAACAGCTGACGGCTAACATAATGAAATTAGAAAAGGTGACTCATTTATTTCCTGGGTTGGGGCGGGAGCCGTAAGTGCCTCTTGACGGCCAGAGAGCAGGGGTTACGCACGCAAACACCTTCGGGGCGTAGCAAGCAGCCTGTGTGACCAAAAACCCAGCCAGGGGATGTCACGGTAAATAGGAAAGAGTATTTTATTTTTTTATTTCCACCAAGAAATTGGTTTCAGTCTCATTCTCCTTGTGGGTGTGTCTTTGGCTTTTCCTCCTTAGTTAGAAAGATTTCTGTCCACCACAAGCGCCCGCCAGCCAGTGACCGCTGACACAGGGCTCAGTGGAGGGACACAGCCGGCCCCACCCAGGCTGATGGTTGCCATACGTGAAATACTGTGTTCAGTCTCTGTTAGAACCCTGCCAGATGGATGTCACTCTTCTGACAGACGAAGAGTCCAAGTTTCCAAGTAACTGGCTCAAGGAGACACGCGGAGAAAGTTGGCAGATCTGGAATTTGAACCAGGTCGGATTCCAAAGTTGTGTTTGGGGCTCCTCACAGTCCAACCTGAGGCCTTGCCAGGAAAGCCACCGATGTACCTTTACCCTCTAGAAGTATCTAACAGAAGGGCAGTTCTCGAGCAAATCTGTCCTGAAGCCTCTGTCATTCTTCAAAGCCAGGAGGAGGGTGGACAGGAAGATGGGCACAGGAGAAAGGGCCCAGAGTTAAACCTAATTAACATTTCTTCACTTCTCCTTCCAGTATATGTCTATCTCTTCCATCTGGTGGTTTGTTTCTGCCCTAAACCTTAAGGACAGGTTTCAAGTGCAGGGTTCAGTTCAAACTGTTACTACAAATGCCCAGCATGTGGTGGGTTCCCCTAACAGTGTAGTCATGATTACTCGGTAAGAACCATGAAATACAGGGGCGCCTGGGTGGCTCAGTCGTTAAGCGTCTGCCTTCGGCTCGGGTCATGATCCCAGGGTTCTGGGATCGAGCCCCTCATCGAGCTCCCTGCTCAGTGGGGAGCCTGCTTCTCCCTCTCCCACTCCCCCTGCTTGTGTTTCCTCTCTCACTGTGCCTCTCTTTCTCTGTCAAATAAATAAATAAAATCTTTTTTAAAAAATGTGAAATACAAATGAGCCAAATGAGGTTGGTTTTGCTAGACTAAATGGTAGTTAGCATTCAGCTACTGAAGTATTGAGCGCGAAGGAGTTTCCAAAGTTCAGTTCTAAACCAAAGGATGACCTAGAATTCCTATTGAACCTGTGGACAAACTTGGAAACTTTTTTTTTTAACCCAAAATCATCCTAGAGAAGGTCGGGTGTAGCCACCCAAAGTGTTTTCTTTTCTAAAATGTGAGTTGCTGAGAATTGAAGAGAATTTCTTTATGTTTCATGACATGCTTACCGATGTGTGGTTTCTGGGGCATCTGTGTGGCTCAGTCTGTTAAGGGTCTGCCTTTTTGCTCAGGTCATGATCTCAGGGTCCTGAGATCGAGCCCCGCATTGGGTTCCACCCTTAGTGGGGAGCCTGCTTGAGATTCTCTCGCTCCCTCTGCCCCTTCCCCAACTCATGCTTGTGCCCTCTCAAATAAAAATATATATATAATCTTTCTTTTCTTCCGTGGGGTTCCTCACTCCCATCACAGTATTGCTTGTTGAGAATTCCTTGCTCAGAATTCTTGAAAGTTCACTTACCCAACAAACATCTACTGAGCACGTTTTTGATGCCCAACACTGTACTGTAGTCTCGAGATCCAAAGATACGTCACGGACCCTGGGCCTTGAAACTCAGTCTTCTGGGAAATGGGTAATATCTAAATGGAGTGTTAAACATTGATGGTTTGAATCAGACACCACATGACACACAGGCTCTGTAAGGATCGGTTTCCCATTATCTCTGCATTTAGGTCACCCTTGGTGTTGCCAAGGCTTTGTTCTTTTCCTTCCATCTGATTTCTCTTGGTCTTTCCTGACACTTTCATCTTTGTGCCACTCTTCATTTTTAGCCCTCTTTTTTTTTTTTTTTTTCATTTTAAAGTGGATTATCAACGGAGTTGGAATCCATTAAGCAGTATTTGCCTGATCTAAATTGAACCCAGGGGGTTGCTTTTTTTTTTTTTTTTTTTTTAAGATTTCATTTATTTGACAGAGAGAGAGCAGGAACACAAGCAGGGGGAGTGGGAGAGGGAGAAGCAGGCTTCCCGCGGAGCAGGGGCGGGACCCAGGGGATCCCAGGACCCTGGGACCATGACCTGAGCTGAAGGCAGACGCTTAAGGACTGAGCCACCCAGGCGCCCCAGTGGCTTTTTATTCAAGGTAGAATAGATTCATCTCGAACATTACACAGGTCATGGCAAACGGGCCCTTGATAGACTCCATTCTATTTAGTAACAGGAACTTCTCTTCTCATTATTTCCAGATACAAAACAACCTACAGAAGCTGCTTGAGAATGGTGACTGACAGACCGGATTGTTCAGGCCAACATGATACCTCGAGCTTCCCTTTGAAGAAGGTGTTCCCCTCGGCATTCTGGCGGAGCGCTCCCTGCTGGCCAGAGGAGCGGGCAGACCGGCATCCCCAGCCATGTTTGCACTTGAAGGTCTCCAGCTCAGCAAGGGGTGGGGGCGGGATAATTCTGGTTCCTGTGCAATAAACATTGACCCTCTGTCTCTGAGGAAGTTCTCAGTGCTGCCACCTGAACACAGACCCATCTCTGGAGGTCTCAGGACGGGCCTGGTGGACACTCTCTCGGATGATCGTGGTTCCACGGTTCTCCTGTGTCAGCAAACACACTCCACTCCGTGCCTTCTTAGTCCTTTCTGTGCTCCTTTTCTCTCCTTTACACCCCTCTGAACCAGCCTTCGAACTAAGGGATAGATCATGTGCCAAAAACCTGATACGGTCCTTTCAAGAATTAGCCCTGACTCTTCCAAAACAGACTTGCCTCAAACAAACACCAGCATTTTTTCTTTTCCGCTCTTCTGTTGTTCTGTTCTGCTTGAAATCACCCTGTGTATCTTCTCAATTCAGGATGGGCAGGAATACCACAAAGCAGATTAAAAATAATCCTGTTTATGTTTTGTTTTGTTCCTGTAACTAATACTTAATTGGACTGATCATCACCCACCCCAGATCAAGAATCTATGACCACATGTGACTGAAGTACTAAATTAAACTTACTCTGAAACCAAAACTAATCTTTAAACCAAAAAGTACAATATGATTTGATACTGGATGAAAAACACTGAATTTTTAAGTTTATAGGTGGACTATGTTATAGTTTTGAAACAGGATGCCTATATGGAATGCTGAAACCCCTCTCAGCATGACAAATGCATGCTTCTCTCTTTTGCTGACTAAAAGAAGTAACTGGTGGTTTCCTAACTTCTATTTACGATATGGGATGGCTGGTTTTTATTAATAATTATTTAGGTACCATAAGATCTGTAATATAAATGATATTCTGTTTCTATTGGCAATGCATTTTATAATCATTTCTATGAAATGTATTTTGTTTAATCAGATAAGCTAATAAATGAATAGGTTACATCTTTTGTTATTTGTTAGCCTGCTGGACAAGAACTGTGCCTGGTGCACCCCCCTGGCTTTTAATAAATCCTCACTGGTTAAAATACCCTGCTAACACTGTGTTTTGTCAGTTTGTAAACTCTTTTAACTAAGACAACATGGCCTTTTTAACTGCTTCTCACCTCCTCTCTACTATTTCCAACTCACCCATACTTCTCTCCTCCCAAGTATCCATTTCAAAACTCAAAAATGATCTAAATTCTGGGGTGGCATTGATATAGGGGAAAGAAAATGAACTTTGAAATCAGAAAAATAATGCTTTATTCCTGGGTCCACATTTTATGAGTTATGTCACCTGAAGATTTTTGGCCATTTTCCCCCATTTTATTTATGTGACTAAAAGTACCAACAAGGGCGCCTGGGAGGCTCAGTCATTAAGCGTCTGCCTTCGGCTCAGGTCATGATCCCAGGGTCCCGGGATCGAGTCCCGCATCGGGCTCCCTGCTCGGCAGGAAGCCTGCTTCTCGCTCTCCCACTCCCCCTGCTTGTGTTCCTTCTCTCGCTGTCTCTCTCTCTGTCAAATAAGTTAAAAAAAAAAAAAAGTACCAACAAAAAATGTCATTGGGAGGATCAAACGTGATGATGTCTCTAGAGCACATCAGGGTCACGCGAATAGTACACTCTCATAACAAGGGCCATATTCGTTATTTTTAGAAATGTTGTCTGACATTCCAGTTCCATAAAAGTTCTGTGTCAGTATAGTCCAAACCCATTAGGGATTCAAGAATGGGTAAGCCACCCATACAGAGAAATTTTACAACCTATGAAAAGCTTTAAAAGGTTCAAATTTCACAGCAAAGGGAACAAAACTAAAAGGCAACCTTCAGTATAGGAGAAGATATTTGCAAATGACACATCCGATAAAGAGTTAGTATCTAAAAAATATAAAGAACTTATACCAAAGTTCTTATAAGGAACTTTGTCCCAAAAACAAATAATCCAATTAAATGGGCAAAAGAGACATGAACAGAAGTGTCTCCAAAGAAGACATGCAGATGGCCAACAGACACATGAAAAGATGTTCATCATCACCACTTAACCATCAGGGAAATGCAAATCAAAACCACAATGAGCTGTTACCTCACACCTGTCAGAATGGCTAAAATCAAAAACAAGAAACAACAAATGTTGACGAGGATGTGAAGGAAAAAGAACCCTCGTGCACTGTTGGTGGGGATGCAAACTGATGCAGCCATTCTGGAAGACAGTATGGAGGTTCCTCAGTTAAAAATAGAACTACCCTATGATTCAGGAATCGCACTACTGCATGTTTACCCAAAGGATACAAAAACACTAATTCAAAGGGATATATGCACCTGTTTGTAGCAGCATTATTTACAATAGCCAAATTACGGCAGTAGCCCAAGTGTCCACTGAAAGATGAAGAAGTGATATATAGGCAAATAGTGATATATATGAGATTATATATATAATTGTGTGTATACATAACAATGGAATATTATTCCGTCATAAAGAAGAATGAAACCTTGCCATTTGCGATGACATGGATGGAGCTAGAGGGTATTATGCTAAGCAAAATAAGTCAGAGAAAGACAAAACTGGATGATTTCGCTCATATATGGAATTAAAGAAATAAAAGAACAAAGGGGAAAAAAACAGACAGACCAAGAAAAAGACTCTTTTAACTCTAGAGAACAAACTGATGGTTACCAGTGGGAGGGAGATGGGTGACATAGGAGACGAGGATTAAAGAGTACACTTACCAAAAAAATAAAATGTTTGAATTTCAGGAATTAGTAATCTGCTCTCTAGAAATTTATCCTGAAGCAATAAGCAGAAATCTAGTCTAAGATTTATATGCAAGAATATTCTTTGAAGAATTATGACAGCAAAATATTCGAGATTCTAAATATTCAATAACAACAATTAAATAATACAACTATTTAGAACTGTATTGTCAAAGAATGGCATTAAAAATACCATTAAAAGGGCGCCTGGGTGGCTCAGTCATTAAGCGTCTGCCTTTGGCTCAGGTCATGATCCCGGGGTCCTGGGATCGAGCCCCGCATCGGGCTCCCTCCTCAGCGGGGAGCCTGTTTCTCCCTCTCCTACTCCCCCTGCTTGTGTTCCTGTTCTCGCTGTCTCTCTGTCAAATGAATAAATAAAAATCTTTAAAAAAAAATACTATTAAAAAGGGAAGCACAAAAACTATATGATATGATCCCAATTTTGTGAAGAAATTCCTACATATATGTGTATATACACCTATATATACACATGGAAGCACACACACACACATTGACCTTTTCTATATTCTCTAAAGTTGGTAGAATGAGCAGTTACTACCTTTTTTTAATCAGAGAAGTTGATTAAAAACATTAAGTGACTCTCAGCAGGGAATGAGGTCTTACAATTGTGCCCACCCTGCCCAATAACACTGACACTAGTTCTGTACCAGGAGCGACTTCATCAGTGGCTTTTCCAACATCCACTACAGTGTTTTCCAAAGAGAGAGAACACACATCATCATTTCTAAATTTCGTGACTATTTTTGCTCTGGGTATGCTGTTACTTGGTTTTGTTTTGTTTTGTTTCTCGTTAGTAGCTCCTAAGTCTAAATCTGGTACAGATGAATCTGAATGATGATGTCTGGTCATATGTCCGCATATTAACTCCAAAGCAGCATGGGAAAGCAAGCATCTGGAGTTTTTCAGCCTCTACCACCTAGATTAAAAAAGCAGGGAATTCTAAAGTAGAAAAGAGTTTCAGATGTTGAGTGGTCAAAATAACAGCAAATGTCCACCATATGCCTTGCCCTTTAAAAACTTTAGCATTACCTTTCTAGAATCAGAAAAAAAAAAAATCTTTTCTTTTTTTTTATAATTTTTTTTTAAATGTTTTATTTATTTATTCATGAAAGTCAGAGAGAGAGAGAGAGGCAGAGGGAGAAGCAGGCTCCCCGCCTAGCAGGGAGCCCGATGTGGGACTCGATCCCAGAACCCTGGGATCATGACCTGAGCCGAAGGCAGACGCTTAACCATCTGAGCCACCCAGGCGCCCCCAGGAAAAAAAAAATCTTAAGAAGAGATTAACTGGTTGAAATTCTATTTCTGTGCATCCTAACATTTTCATCTATGATGAAATATATACTATTTGGATGAATGGAAATCATCAGTCTCACATAAACTGAAAATGCTATTATTATTGACCTCTCAAGCTTTGTGAATATTTAAGATACTTTCCTACATAGACTCTACAACACTCCAAGGCATTTCCCAGGTATTCATTTATGCAATTCTTTGAAACCCTCCCGGACACATTTTTCTTTAAGATTTTATTTTTACATAATCTCTACACCCATGGTGGACCCCAAGAGTCTCATGCTCCTCCAACTAAGCCAGCCAGGCACATCTTTTTTTGTCTTCCACAACTCATGCTAATTCATAAATTCATGGCATCAGATTGAAAATTTTCCAACTTAAATGTGAATTTTCTCTTCTTAGGTGGTTTCGTTTTATGTATCCTAATAGTGAAATTCAGGTGATGCTCTCCTTGTTTATCTGTTTGTTTCTGGTGATCTAAAGGTCATGGACACTAACAGACCAGGTAAGTTTTGCTCTCAAGCATTTTTTTTCAAGATTTTATTTTTAAGTAAAAATACACCCAACATGGGGCTTGAACTCACAACCCTAAGATAAGGAGTCATATGCTCCACCCACTGAGCCAGCCAGGCACCCCTCAAGCATTTTTTTAAGTCAAAATTCTACATACTGGTAATAGTTATGCTGTCATTTGGGATCCATAAGCTGATCTTCTCACAAAGAAGCCCAGTGGTATAATATTCTTTTTATGTGCTTCTTTTAAGCCTATCCCTACCAATAATGATAATTTTACCAGTTCTTGATTAAACCAAAAAATTAGAGACATTAAATGAAGCATCTTTGACCACTGAGTTTCTATCATTCTTTGTTTTTTAGAAATGTTAAGCCTTACCAGAGCAATCTGCAGGTTCAATGCAATCCCCATCAAAATTCCAATGCCATTTTTCACAGAAATAGAACAGTCCTAATATTTGCATGAAATCACACACACACACAAAACACAACCAAACAGCCAAACAAAGCATCCTGAGAAAGAACAAAGATGGAAGCATCATGCTCCCTGATTTCAAACTATATTATGAAACTATAGTAATCAACACAGTATGCTATTAGAATAAAAACAGACATATAGATGAATGGAAAAGAATAGAGAGCTCAGGGCGCCTGAGTGGCTCAGTCGTTAAGCGTCTGCCTTCGGCTCAGGTCATGATCCCAGGGTCCTGGGATCGAGTCCCACATCGGGCTCCTTGCTCGGCAGGAAGCCTGCTTCTCCCTCTCCCACTCCCCCTGCTTGTGTTCCTGCTCTAGCTATCTCTCTCTCTGTCAAATAAATAAATAAAATCTTTAAAAAAAAAAAAAAAGAATAGAGAGCTCAAAAATAAATCCATGCATATATGGTCAACTAATTTATGACAAAGGAGCCAAAAATTTATCATGAAGAAAGCACAGTGTTTTCAATAAATGGTGTTGGAAAAACGGGACAGCCCCATGCAAAAGAATGGAAATGGACCTCTATCTTACATTGTACACAAAAATCAACTCAAAATAGATTAAAGACTTGAATGTAGGAACTGAAACCTAAAATTTCCAGAAGAAAACATAGGCGGTGTGCTCCTTGACATTAGTCTTGGCGATGCTTTTTAGGATCTGACATCAAAAACAAATACCATAAAAGAACAAACAAGTGAGACTCCATCAAACTAAAAAGCTTCTACACAGCAAAGGAAACCATCAACAAAATGAAAAGGCAACCTACTGAATAAGAGAAAATATTTGCTACTCATATATCTGAGAAGGGATTAATAGTCAAACTCTATAAACTCACACAACTGAATAGCAAAACAAACAATGTGATTAATAAATGGACCGAATAACTGAACAGACATTTTTCCAAAGACATACAGATGACCAACAGGGTATGTGAAAAGATTCTCAATATCACTCATCATCTGGTAAATGCAAATCAATATCACAATGAGCTACCACCTCTGCC